TGTGATAGGCTGAAACATGACACTCTCCTCACATAGGTATTTGCCAGTCGCCATGATGAGACAAACATACCACAACATTTGCCATGAGTACAACCACCCAACATTGGCATCTACGAAAGAAGGTGGTAAAAAGCATACAAGCACCCAGCAAGACGTTAGCAAGAAACACTCTGGTTGTTTGCTGAAACTTGTAATGAAAGTTATACACACAATTTAAGGTGAGCAAAAGAAAATTAAGTGCATATCTCATCACTGTTCAGCCAGAGTACATGAAACAAATATATTGGAATGGTAAAAAAATATCAGCATGGTGTGTCAGTTTTATTAAGAAACAACAATAATACATTACACACTAGCCGACAGGAAGGCTTCAATCAAGTAACTAAAAAATCTGAAAATACTGTTAATTGATGAATGTCTTTTCAGATTAGTACATACAGTATCTCAGTATGGTATGTTATTGATAAAGCAGCAAATGCCAATGTTTGATAACATTTTTGATTTTTAACAAACCTGGTTTTGCATTATTGTAACTACTGTACTGTATTTATTCCTCAATAGGAGCAAATGACTGGCTCAGATGGATGTGATGCAAACAATTCCATCTGTGTGGACATGATGAAATGGACATATCCAATCCATGGTTAGCAGAAGGTGGTGATGCTCAGAGCTCTGCAGCAAGTGATTGAATCCAAATATTTCCAAAGAATTAAATTAAAATGATTTATCTAGTGATTTTTTTTTCTGAAGATATACTGAAATGCCACACACTTAAGTTTTTGTTTTTTACGCATCTGGTTTATATTGCAAATTTATAATAAATAAATAAATACTGTACCAGTATTACTTTACTTGTTTCACTTGCAAAATATCTTTAATATTATTAAATGGTATTATAGTCCCACTCAATCATAATCCTTTTGAAGCAAATATGTAACCCAAATTTAGAAAACAAATTGTGAGGATTAATTTTGAAATATGTAATGTGCAAAGTTGATAGTACAGTATGAAAATGTGGCTCAATAATACAGGAACAACTATTTAATATATGGCTTTGTACAGTCTTGTGTAAAGTTATTCTATGAAACTGCTTATTTTTTAAATGCCTGGATTATGCCTATGTCTGCATGCTGATCAATTTGGTATTGGAATTTAAGAAAAAGCTTCAATTTTTTTGCTGTACACCATTTTTTGTTTAGTATTTTAAAATACAGTAGTTGAACTTGCCTATGTCATGTCCAAAATGCCATTGAGAAATTGTTTGACCCTAACAAAATTTGACTTGCACTTACGGTAATGGAAAACACAACCATTCGGCATGTAAAATTAGATCGACTTAGAAATTATTAGAGTATATTATTAGTCGTCTTAGGCAAGTTTAACTGCACTGCTCTATTTATCATGTCTGATTGTCTTGTATTATTTACCATAGATTTCTTCTTTCATGATGATATTCAACATCCATATTTTTGGTGCTTCACTTAGTTATTGTTGTACATACAGTAAATTCAAGACTACTGGTGTTATTAAATAAATATTTTGAAACAATTTATCATCCTTGTACATTGCAAATAATTTATTACAAGTGTATTTTCTCACAGTTAATATAAAATTGTTTTACTATACACGATTAAAGCAGTCAGGTATTACAATATATATCACTGCATTTTACACACTCTATTTATTATCAAAATATTATATATATGGATTTATAGTTACTATAGTTTATACCAATGTAAAGAATAGGGAAGAACAAGTTACATTTATTCAATGTACACAAAATTCTAATTCATACTGTATTAGCTTAAAATTTTAAAATATGAGACGAGAGTGGGGAAGATACAAAAAACATTGTACTGTACTTAACGACAAAATGTTCAATAGACACACTTGTATACACAACATCCCAACAATAAAAATGATCTCATATTCTGTAATAATCTTGTTGCTATGGTGGTTATTGTAATTGCAACTACTATAACAACAATAACAACAACAATAATCGTAATAATTATAATAATGATAATAAAAATAATAATAATAATGATGATAATAATGATAACTATTATAATATTAATAATATGATAATGATGATAGTTATTATTTTTGTTAAGATTGTTATAATGAAGATAATGGTAATTGTAGTTATAATGGTACATAATGGTGATAATAATAATTATAATTATAAATAATAAATAATAAAATAATAATGGGAATTTTGCTGTAATGATGGTAATAATAACAATAGGTTTTGTAGAATAATTATAATTATTATTGTTATTACTGTACTTAAATGGTGATTGTGATGACCTTGTTTTTTGCTTTTAATGACTGTTTTTATTTATTTATTTATTTATTTTTTTAATTCTTTATTTTATTTTTTGCTTGCATTTTGCTTGATGTTGTGATGTGTTGTCTATTATATTTTATCTTACATTTTAATGATGTTTTTTTTAATACTGGATGGGAGTGGTTCTCAAACAATTGTTATAGTAATTAAGTTTACTTTAGAGACCAGGCCCTCCCATCAAGATTATTCTATTGTGCAATAAAAGAATAAGAATAAGAAATTAAAGATGATTTTAAGCGAAAGTACAACATTAAACAATGGCAAATCCTGGAATTTGGAATAGAAGCCGTCTCAGCCCCACCACTGGTTAGGGCTGATGCATGGCCGGCAGAACTAGGGGGGCCTCGCTTTTTGGGATTTATGGATTCATGGAAAAAAATCGTATGCAACTACTCAATTTTTTTTATGTATGTATACACACATAAGGCCTATCTACTATAATAACAGGGATAAATTTACCTGGCCGTTTTCAAGAGGGGAAAACCTTGAATTTTGAAAAACTTAAAAAGTAATTAAAAGACACCTCAGAAGTCGGGAAAACTCATTTCCCACCTTTTAAGAATAAAAATTTTCCCGAACCCCCCTTTTCTTTGGAGCTTATCGAAAAACCTTGAAATTTACTTAAAAGTAATTAAGATACCTCAGAAGTCTGAAAAACTCATTTCCCGCCATCTAGGATTCAAAATTTTTTCCGGGGAGAACCCCGGGACGCCCGCTTCTTTCTTTGAAGCTTATCGATTCATTGAAAAAACAATATGTATGCAACTACTAATTTTTTTTTTTATGTATGTATACACACATAACAGGCCTATTAATACTGTAATAAGAATGAGAAAGTTTACCTGACCATTTCCAAGAGGGGGAAACCTTGAATTTTAAACAACAAAGTCATTAGAAACCTAGCTCAAAAGTCGAGAAAGGACATTTCCCGCCATCTAGAAATCAAAATTTTCCGGGGGAGGACCCCAGGATCCCCTTTCCTTTTTGGGAAAAATGTTGACCCCTATCCCCCAGGTTTTCCCAGATCTGCATGATTCATATTCCCATTCATCTTATACATTTGAAAAACGTTCCGCCGGCCCTGTGAGGTACAAAATTTGTTAAGTCTCTGCTACTTCTAGATGGCAGGAAATGGCACTGACAGACTCAATATTTGAAGGTAATTTTCTTTTATTCCCATTCCCTCATTCAATTTTTAATCTGTAAAATTTATGGCGTCTCATGGTTGATATTCAGCCAATAATATTATGGATAGAAGATAATTCACCAAATTACCGTACTCTCGCGAATAAGTGCCCCATTTGAATATGCGCCCCTCTTGAATAACAGCCCCTCCTAACGTAAAAATTTCCTTGAATAAGCGCCCCCTTCTAATTTAAATAAGCGCCACGGCTCAATAATATCATAAGATAGCAAGTCTATAATCCAATCAATCCTGGGACTGTGGTTGTTGGCATGATTTGAGCTGCAGAGTGGAATCACATTCTTCTTAAGCCAATATCAAAATGAGGATACTTCTCTTGGACAGGTGGGAGCTCTGATCCCTGGACAGACAGTATATTTCCAACTTTACTCCTCTTTTTCTTTTTGCGACCTTTAGCACATTCTCATCTCTGATTTTTCAAGAAAAAATACAATGATCCTGCCATCCTGCTGATCTCGATCGGCTGATGGCCAACAAGCTAACCACTACCCACCACTACTAATTGCATTTGCTGTTATGTAAATATTCACAGCATTGTCATAAGCCATGTTCTCTGGATGATTATTTTTTCCGCCACACCAACAATCATAATGTCCTTATATGATTTTTTTTCACTCAAAAAGTGCCTCCTGAATTTAATAATTTCCCCTAAGAACCCTTCGATGAAACTTCGATTTTCATAAGCGCACCCTCAATTTCCATTGTTTTCATAAGTGCCCCATTTAAATAAGCGCCCCATTTGAATAAGCGCCCCTCGGAAAGTTCAAAAAATATTTTAAGCTCCCGGGCGCTTATTTGCGCGAGTATGGTAAGACATTTTGGATCTTAGAATATGACATAGACAGGAGGGGAAAGTAAATTTTACAAATAGGGAATTTACATTACCTCAGCCCCCCCCCCCCCCGATCTAATTCCAGTGATGCTTGAATGATTTGACTTCATTTCAAGAGACTGACCAATCACGATTGCAATAGATTAGTTACTTTGATCTCTTTCCTGTGCTCTATATAAATGAAATGGTAAAGGGGTTCTTTTGCTATTGCATTTTACTTTGTTTACAATGTATATGATTTGTTGATTGTGCTTTGAAAGGTATGTTAACCTATTTAAACTGTCTATTAAAACCTGCAACACCATCAATTGTTCCACAATTCTAGCTGAAAAATTAGAAGTAAAATTGTTCATTTAAAATACAATAATCATATAAGTTCACTTCGACAATCCACAGAAAATATTTTACTACAGTTAAGAACCCGTACATTATTTAAAACGGGAAACTATTCCCCCATAAGCCTATATTACTACAACAACAACAACGCCAGCGTTAATATGGTGACAATCAACCAGTCAACCGTATTTGTGTGCGTGCCAGAGTAGATTTGAACAGTTATCAAAAAACTGGAAACTGAACAGGAACTGAACATCTTAATAATTACGTTAGAAATTGGGATCAATGGTTCGTCAGTGGAGAAAATGGCATCCGGTTGAAGGCATTTTGTGTCGCTGATAGCAAAAGAGTATCACATGGTATTGTGATGTAACACTGTAGTACTCAATAAGGAACTTTAAAAAAGCTAGGTTTAATGACAATGGTAATTTGAGATTATTTCAAGCATTTATGGTTTAAAAAAGAAAAGTATAACCTACCAGTATAAATGATTAAAAATTCCAAAATATTTTCGAAGGCTTGCATTCAGTAACCCCATAAAAAAAAGTGTGTCAAAATTTAGATATTCCAAAGTGAATTTGGCTTTTCTTTTCATTTATATAATTTATCACTTATGAAATATGTCTCAATTATGTGTAAAATAAAAGATTACCCCAGTTTTTATTTTGGGAATTGTGCGCCAGACAGGGAGTCAGCTGATTCGCTCAACCATAACAAGCTCGTGCTTTGTGAGCAACAGGAAATTGAAACTAGGGCCAATGGTGAAAAAATTTACTAATAATGTAAGTCGATTACATTTTTGAAGAATGAATCTTTCAAAAAGACCTGTTTGCTGGTTTAGATAAGGAAGTGGTGATTTTAGAAGTGGCGGTAAATAGGTTTGTTACCAACCTTTGTCTTTTCTATACTCTCTATTCTAGACCAGGTCCTAGCTAGTAGTAGTAGTAGGCGTAGCCTAGCATAGTACAGTGCTGTAAGGATTACTACTGGAGCGACCTAGGTGCCAGATTTTTTCATACAAATTAGGGTATGTCCAGCCATTTGATAGTCAAAATACAGAGGCTATTATTATTACTGTACACTAGAAAAGAAAAGATGAAAAAGAAGATAGTCTATTATACATATGTGATGTAAATTGTAATTGTCTTCATTCTTCCAAAATTTCTCAACGCATTGGTGTTATTCGTTTTTACCAAATTCTTTCTCTTAGACTTAAGCAAATTCTTCTGTAATACCGTACTCGCGGACAACCGCCCCTCCTAACATGAAAATTTCCTTACGCGCCAAGTTTGAATAAGGCCCCCCCCCCTTCTAATCTCAAACAGCCGATGGCCAACAAGCTAACCCCTACCCACCACCACTGATTGCATCTGCTATTTTGCTCTTATGATATTCACGCATTCTTGTCATGAGCCATGTTCTCTGGACATCCTTTTCCGCCTAACCACCATTCGTAAATTTTCATCTATTTCCATAAGCACCCCCTCAATTTCCGCTCTGTTTTCATAAGCGCCCCGTTTTCATAAGGGCCCCAATTGAATAAGCGCCCCCAAAAAGTGCAAAAAATATTTTAAGCACCCAGGCGCTTATTTGCGCGAGTACGGTACCTTTTTTTCAATTATTGTAGAATTGTATGGTCCAATTGCACAGCTGCGCACCTTAATTATTTCACATGCTGATATTAAAACATTTGTTATTGACCTATGTAATCTCTTAACTGGAAGGATGTAAACCACTGGACTGGAAAGTCAAAACAAAAAAAGAAGAGAAAAAAATAAAAACCAATAACAAATTTATCACCTAAACGTCCTCGGAGGTTATTTTTGGATGTCTAGAACCAAGAAATGTTTTGGGGGTATTCTCCTGGACCCCCTAGGGTACTGTTATCTCAATAGGCCTCAATTTCCACCCCTCATCATCATCGCAAATATCTTTTGCATACTGTAATGTGAATTGACTCTCATGCCATGTCCATGTTGTTTTTTATAACCTGTTAGATTAACTTGATTGAGATTAATGTATGTCGTTTTTTTTAAAATTTAATAACTGATGTATTTAAAAAAAAATTGAGAGAAATATATGCAATGGAATGATATTAGCATCAGAAAGTTGAAAATCAGTCTTGGAGGTAACAGTAAATTAACAGAATACAAAAACATTCAGCAAAGCATCTAATATTTTAATTGCGTTTAACTAATGACAAGAGAATATGACACCACATTAAATACTTACTTCCTGGTATAACATCGGTAGACATCGATACTGAAAATTTAAAATTTAATATAATAATGCCAAAAATAATGTACTGTCTTAAGATACTTTCGAAAAGAAAATGACTTATGATGACATGATGACTAATAAACTCAACTCCGGTAAGATAAAATTATATTTTAACACTACGTAGATCCATAATTTATTAACGATTATAATACCAAACTTTTTTCTATTATATTTTAATATATGATGAGACTCAATAAAAATTGAAATATATTTTCCAAAAATGTTCAATATCTGATTCAGATTGTTATATTATTGGCTCTTCACAATAAAGAGCTGCTCTACACAAAAAACTGAACAACCTATGCAACTTCTAATTCCTTCAAAATTTTTGGGAGTAATGTTAGCACTGCAAAAATGAGAAGCGGTCATAGATGTCACCATAAAATCAATTCTATAATAAATATTAAGATTACAATGTGCAACAAATGTGAATGGATGAATTAATGTCAAATCAGAATATTATTATTATTATTTTATTACAGGATAATTACAGAAAAGTAACAATTAAATATTTGAACACTTACTTATTGGTACACCAATAGTAGTAGATGCTGAAAACCAAGAAGTTTCAATAAACGCTTGTACTTTAAAAGCATTTGTATATCCCAACCAATGGAATATGATGCAATAAAAGACCTCTTTTAAAAAACAAATACATGTATGAGAAAAAAAAGGTTATATAAAATGCCGTACTTTTTATAGCTAAGCTTTCAAATTACAACATTTCACTGGTAAGTTTATCCATCTGTAACACATACAGTGTTAAATGGTTTGGAAAAGGCATACAGCTGAATAATAATGCATCACATAAAATGAAAAATTTGAAATATTTGTAACAAACAAAAACTGTACTTCATACATTATATAACACCGATATTCAACTTTGGCCCGCAAAATAAATTATTTTCCCCGGACGATTTGTTAGTTGAAGATGTTAAAGAATTTGCTACAGAATCCAGGTGACTTTGACGTGACTAAAAATGCGTTTACTTAATCTTACATCCCGGGGGTTCACTTGCATACCAACCTTACGGGGGTATACTGCAGCCACTCCCAAGACATGAGACACTTGCGTACCTATTCTACTGAAAATTATTAGGGAGCTGATCTACATTTACCAAAATCCAGTATCGGTTGAACTACTATTATGGCCATGTAACCTAACAAATTAAACTGGTTCCTGATGGCAAATAAGTCCGCACTTATGTCTGTTCGTGATCTTTAAAGTAGGTTTGACACCAGAGTTTTTGGCAAAAAACTTTGCTAAAATCATGTAAAAATTATACTACTTTGATGATACACGACGGCGCAGGGACTGTTACAACTGTTAATGTAAAAGAGACACATAATGTAAAAAAATAATTGGTTAATGCATATGTAAAAAGGTTTGATGCTTAATGTAAAATAATAACGCATAATGTAAAAACTTTTGACGCATAGTGTAAAAACATTTTCTAACGCATAATGTAAGAACATATCAAAGCATAATGTAAAAACTTGGCATTTAACGACAAAAAGTATGATTTGTTGTGCTTACTGCACAAAAACCTCACTTTTCTATCCAAATACTTAGTTTTAACAAATAAAAACTTTTGTTTCCTCTGATTATCAGCGTCATCATATAATTTAAATGGTCACTAGTATGTCTTGTGTAGAAGATATGAAACTTAAGGTTCCGATAGATGGTGTGGATAATATTTCTTTTTTTTTAAACATTAATTTGAGGTTTGTTTATAATTAGTAGACTGTTAAACAATCTTAGATGGCATCTGAAAAGAAGCAAGCTTAAAATACAAAATGCATGCTTTACCAGAGAACACGAGAAGCACACACAATGACTGTGACCATTATTTTTCTTTTCACAGTCAACAAAGGGGGTGGCTAGCCACCCTCCTCTGCCACTGTAATTCCTGTACAGTTGCTTTAAATGAAAAAAAAGTTACTTAATTTCACTGATCTCATAACGTCATTACTTAGCCTAGACGAATGACACGAATATATCTGTTCCAACATTGCCAGCTTGTGTGTCAATAAAGCACTTAAAGATTTTGTTGTCATGCTAGGTCGATGCTTGATCTTGTGTTTTCAACAATAGAGAAAACTCTCTCAGTCACTACTGCTATGAAATATTACCGTAGCGCTCCTTGGTATAGCCCCAACTTCGCGTACAAGAATTTTCCGAGGTCGATAAATTTAACAAATTTTCACAAAAAACAAAGGAATTGTCTTTGAATTCTGCCGACTTGAAACTCTTCCAATTGCTTAAAACAGACATGGTCGTCGTGACGTTGAAAAGCCCATCCTTGTAAATTATTGTAAATAGCGTGATCCACAGATTCACTGCTAAAAATTACTTGTTACATGGCTACATCATGCAAAAAACTGGCCTAGCTTCCTAGGCCTACTAACTACAACTAAGGTATTCTCTTAATTTGATGCTCAAGTACAGACTGATTTCTTTGCTAGAATATTGCTCTTGAGGCTATTGAATCGTAGGACAATTGTTGAAATGCAACTGCCACCTCGCAAAATGATCATCATTTTCATGCACTAGGGAATACCCGGGTATAACCCAACCTTCCAAAATCAGGCCAATTTCGCATTCATGGGGGTGAGATTATACACGGTGAACTATGGCCTAATATTCCCTTCATCACATTGGTCAGTATTGGATATTTCTTACAATGTAATTTAAAAAAAAATTTTTTTATTCATCTATTTCTTTTTTAAATTCTAAAAATTGGGAAGTCCTAATTTTTTGGTGTTTTTGACATCGGAAATCGGGATGATTCTGATTAAATCAGGACGGTTGGCAGGTCTGCTTCAAGGGAACCAACCAAAAAGCTTGTACAAACAGCCTGTGAAGAATTATGGCACATAAATACAGGCTTTTGTCTCACTTGTGAAGGAAACCATACAGAAACTCTTTAAATATTCTAAATTAAAACTAAACAGAGATTTAATATTTTCTGAATTGGAAAAAGATCTACGTAACCATGATATATTTTTAGATGATCTGTCTGATATAGATGAAAAACTTTCAATCATCTTTGATAAATATTATAAAAAATACATTCAACAAGCATGGAATTTAAGATCAAATATCTATAAGAACATTAATACATAAGTGCAGACTGTACCACTGATATTTTATGTTGCTTATTTTTATTATTATTATTATCTTTATTATTATTTTTAATGAATTTGTATGATGGAACGTTGTCATTTGGCTTTATTTACCAAACATGGTTTGGTATGACTTTCATAATTAAGTTGTATTTTTTAATTTTTTTTTTCTTTTCAATTTTCTGTTGATTTTTGCCTTTTGGATGCACCATCATTTTAGATGTGTGCCACTGTAATAAAAGTGATTCCAAATAAAAACTAAAAACTAAACTAAAAATCTCTCTTGACTTCCACAGGATCATTCATGCCAAAAGTTACATTATACAAGTTTATTCCCAGTAAAGTTTGTTAATCAGCTGTAGGTGTACTCCAATTTCTTATTTATTTATTTAGGCACACAATCCATGTGCCAAGGATGGTCAATAGCGAATATATCACCGTCCTACTTGTAGGCGACAATCCCTTACACAAGACAAACATACACACACGATGCTTTACACAAGCTAAATCTCAATATGAGATTTAGGAAGTGGAGTTGTTTTGGTCGTGAGAAAAAATTCTGCAACACTGACAGGGATTGAACCTAGGACCCTGGGATTGGAAGGCAAGCATCTTAACCACCAAGCTATTCAACTCCACTTGCAAATCATGATACAGTATATCAATAAACTTACTGAAATTATGTTACAAAATTATGAATGAATACATTAAACAAGCATACTATTAATATTCTTATATGAAATCATTAAATGCATTACAATATTTTATCTACTGTGCAATATGAAACAAAACAGTTACAGTAATTACTCTACATCATTTAATAATAATAATTTTGGCTTATATAGCGTATTATGCTAAAGCCTCAATGTGCTTAACAATAAAAACCAGAGCCTTGCAGGCGTCAACGTTCCTATGCATGATACACGACTTTTAGAAGTATATATACGTGTAATATATATATATATATATACATACATATATGTATATATATACGTATATATATATATATACACATATACGTATATATATATTCATATATATATATATATATATGTATTTATACATATGTATGTATATATATGTTTATGTGTGTGTATATATACTTATATATAAGTGTACATTATATATGAGTATATAAGAATATAAGTGTATATATATAAGTACAGTATATATATAGGCCTATATAAGTATATATGTAAGTACGTGTATTATATATGTATATATATATAAGTATGTATATATATATATATATTATAATGTATATATGTATGTATATATATATATATATATATATAGGCCTATATAAGTATATATGTAAGTATGTGTATATATGTATATATATAAGTATGTATATATTATATATATATGTATATATATATATATATGTGTATGTATATATATGTATATATATATAAGTATGTATATGTGTGTATATATGTAGATATAAATATATACACATATACGTATATATATATATATATTCATATATATACATATATATGTATTTATACTTATATATAAGTGTACATTATATATAAGTATATAAGAATATAAGTGTATAATAATCCACATGCGACTCCTCTTTCTACTCTTTGCCAAATGTGGGCCTCTTTACTATCTAATAGTAGCAAAGTTGTTGTAGATTTGTAAGGGTACAATGTGTTAATGACTTCATAAACTTGAGTATTTGTAAAAACACGGAGGATTGAAAGTTGGCAAGTTTTTGCTGGCCTATTTTTATCCTCATTTTGGGCCTTGCGGGGACTTAGCAGGGGATGTAATTTCCAAAATGGTTACATGCATGTGAGAGTCCCGGCCACCTCCTAGCAATGCGGAGCATCGTTTTAATGTACATCCCCGGCTAAGTCCCCGCCACACCGCCGTAGTCCTGGGAAAATGCCTCGCTAATAAATGATTGGAGGATAAAACCTACTTGAAGGTTTAGCCTACAGTAGGTCTGAATCGGAGAAGCAACGTGAGAGCTAGGCCAAGGAGATGAGGTTCCTTGATGGAAGCACTACGCGTGCGTATCACTTAGCAGTTTCCATGGAAGTTTGGACTACAATTGACAAGTGCATAATCTGTCTCTTATACACATCTAGATGTGTATAAGAGATAGATTTTTCAGTGGGATTGAGCACTGTTTCACAAAAAATTGAGATATTTTTTTTTTATATATATATATATATATATATATATACATACATACATACATACATTATAGCATACATACTTATATGTACGGTTGGGTCAAATTTGTGTGGTGGTTGAAAAATACAGGGGGAGTCTTTATGGCCCAAAATAGTGATTTCAGACTACATTTGTAATGTAATTCGACAGGCAAATTACAGTAACATTTTTAGCAAATTTCTTTGAAAAAATATCGTAGGCATAGGGCCTAGCTACGTATACAGTATTTTCATTT